GGGGAAGGGGACGGAGGGAGGGAAGGAGGGAAGGAGGGAAGGAGGAAGATGGAATGATTGGATGGGGGTATGGGGAAGGGAGGGGAGAGGGAGGAAGATGGATGGATGGGGGGTATATTCTTAGGGTTTTGATGATATTGGTATGGTGTGGTGTGGTGTGGTATGGTATGGTATAGTTAATGGTATAGTTGACTGGATTGAATGTGAGTGTGCTAGTGTTAGTGTTAGTGTTAGTGTTGGGATTAGGGATTGGGATCGAGTGGGTGAGTGGGCTGGAGGATAGGAATTGGGGGTGGGAGCCGGGAGAGAGGGGGAGGGGTAAGTAATTTTATCGAGGGAGGGATGCAGGGAAGGAGAATGGAGGGAAGAGGAATGGAATGGAATGAGAGGATAGAAGGGGAATGAGGGGTCAGGGAGAGAGTGTTTGGTGTTTGGGTGGTTGTGTTGTGGGGAGGAGAGGGGAGGAGAGGAGAGGAGTGGAAGGGAGGGGAGAATAGAGAATAGAGAATAGATGTTGAAGGGTTTGGATGGGATAGGTATGGGATGAGTGTTATGGATGGGGGTGCATGTATGTATGTAGTGGATGTGGATGTGAAAAGTGAAGTGATTATATAGATCTATATTGCAGAATTATAAATACTTATACTTAGGTATACTTATATGAGTACTCGAGTATATACTACATACAAGATTCATAGATTGAAGTTAAGTAAAGTAAAATGAAGTAAAGTAAAGTTAAATATGAAGTTAAAGAAAGTATTCCAATATTACATATATATATATACTCGAGTATAAATAGTGTTTATAACTTCATATAAGGAGAGTGAGTATATATACTTAGATACTATATCGGGATATACTACTCGTATATGGAAATATACTATATATAGTAAGTATACCGAAATGAATAAAGAGATTAGGGATACCGGATTTGAATATATATTATAATAGACAGTGGACAATAGACAATAGATATAGAATAAGAACCTGATGGTAGTGGGTGGGAATAAAATGAGTAGGTATCTAGATAGTAACATAACCATAACCTAGAGATATCGCATGGCAATTGCTGGGATTGAATATTAGATATACTGTAGTGAGAGTATCTATAAAGCATAGAATGCTATAAATACTTGTATAATAAATGAATGAGTGAATGAGTATTTGAGTGTATATACTCAGTATAAGAGTTGAGTAAGTAATCATACTTGTAAATATTACCTAGTAGATAAGTAAGGTGAGAATTGGGATGGGAGCGACTTTGTATATGTTTTGTAGTACCGAGTAGTATGGAGAACGATTATATCTCGGTATCTAGGAATTGTGCCAAAGTATTGTGCGAAAGTATCTATATTTTGATTGAGTAGGTTGAGAGGTATATACTATATTTGTACTTGAGTGTTGTATCTATAGCTAAGATGTATATATGGTATAATTAGACGGCTATACCGGTAGCTAGCTTGTAAGTTTTGGAAGCGGAGCGGAAGAGTGTGTGGGTTTGGGGATAGGATGGGAAGGGAGAAGAGTTTGATGTACTCGAGTATGAGTTTATTGATCTCTATAAGAAAAGATAAGTATAGCATTCTTATTTCCTTGTATATATATATGATGATAATAGTGTGTGATGTGATGTGATGTGAGATGTGATGTGATCAAATATAGAGATGGAAATGAGACTTATGCTTGAGAGGCTGTTTGGATATACTCGAGTACTCGAGTACTCGAGTAGATGGGATGGGATATGGGATGTGATATATATCTATGAATAGAGATGTATTTATTAATTAGGCCTTATGTGTACCTACTTATTAAAACTTTTGATCTGGTGTTTACACGTGGCTGATCTGATCTGATCTGATTCAGAGGAGATCTGAACTTCTCCCATAGCATAGCAAAGCATAGCGAATGCGATGAAATGAAATGTGAGTCCCGTGTTTCGGATCATTGATAACGTGGCATTAAGTTGGTTTTACCTTTTGTCCCTGGGCATTTTTATCTTTGTCACGTTTGTTTTATATGCTAGTTACTAGGTAATATTGGTAACATAAATAATGATGAGCAGTTTGAGTTGTGAAGTTAAGTGGATTATAAGTGGAGGTTTCTGAGTGGTAGATCAAAAGTGAAGCTTGGGGCAATTGGTGGATGGTGATTGTTGCGGCCACGAGGGTTGATGGGTTTGAAGATTGGATTTTGATGGATTTATGGATTTATGGATTTATGGGTTGAGGATCTAGATTTGAGGGTTTGGGATGGGAATGGGATGGGATGTGATGGGATGGGATGGGATTGGATTGGATTGAAATTGAAAGGGGGTTTATATAGGTATTAATTGATGATTAGGTGATTTTGTGAAGAAAAGAATTTGATATACCTAAATATGGAATATGAATATGAATATGAATATGAAGATATAAAAATACACACGCTTAGTAACACAGCATATAAGAGGAAAGCAAATTGTCCAACTGTTCACCTGTCCAAGTGCAAATACTCAGGTATACTGTAACGATACTACTCTATACCACATGGCATAGCACAGACTTTGTTCCAGTGGTAAGAGAAATGGTGTAAGATAATTTGGAAACGAGTATCGTGAGATATCACATTATTCTTTTGTTATATTATTGTTATTTCAAATTATACCGGTTAGGTTGCCGAATAGATATTATTATATATATACGAGATATATTACAATTATTTCTATCACTGATTATCGAGGTCATAAGGTTGATGCTATTTTGATATCAATTCAATCTCTCAACTCTTATATTCTATCCAATGAATATAAATAAATTTCCGAATAATTGCAGATCTAATTGTCATATCCTATCTAGCCTTATCTTACCTAAGGTTACCCTTCCCTCTTGTCAAAATTTCTCTTCCAGATAATACCTTTGAATATCGAAACAAACAATTAAGTTGCTCTCGAAGCAATCAATCAATCAATCAATCAATTAATCAATTCATTAAATTCATATTATCTAAATCCATTCATTCATTCATCAGTCTCTTACAATCACATACTCTCATCCCAAACATTATCTGAGCTCTATTCTCAATCTCCTACACCATTGTCTGAGCCGCAGCAGAGTAGCTCAGAAAAAGATTTGCCTCGAGACAATCACAACGAAGCTAAGACCATCTCTAAATTATCTCATTCATTCGAGTCCACTACTCAGACCTCCTTACCCCCTTGTCACCTTTTCGTCTCTCCCTCGAAACTTCTTTGTTCACAACTTCCAAAAAAAGATTTCCATTATCTTCAAAGTATAACATTCCAAGACTGTATAAGACAATAAAAACTTAAAAACAATAAGCCTTGTTTGTTATCAAAGATCCGACAAGAAAAGAGAAAATATTACTTTATTACCCTCCTACCTCGGGTGATTCTCTCACCCTTCACTTCAACCCATCCGCTTTCTTGTGGGCTGTGGAGACAGACTCGGTACTCTACTTGACGGCATTTCAATAATATCTCCTCTTTACATCTATTTTCGGTCACAAACTCAACTCAAAGTACTCGAGTAATCATCGATCGATCTTATTAGCTTTGGCCTGAGCTCTCTCACGACTTCTATATACGAAACGTCGACTTCAAATAATCCTTGCGCAAATATTGTTCATTTTCAACAAATACAATTGAACCGAATTGATAGCCTCGCGGATCGTGTTGGATATCGAAGTTGGACTAGGACTGCGTATAACGTCACACCTCCATTGAGTGACGACACAAACCTCAAAAGCAATCAGCGGAAGATATATATCGATCCAAGGACAACGACGATCGCGGTTTTATCCCTTGAAATCATTACAAGGAAAGGCGGGGGCTGCATCTGCAGCCAGGCAGGTGAAGCACGATGGGTGCTTGTATGAGCTCGAATATGGAGGACACGGAGCAGAGGAAGAGAAGTCAAATGATTGATAAGAAGTTGGAAGAGGACTCGAAAAGACTTCGACGAGAATGCAAGATTCTTCTACTAGGTACATGAATGAAATCATCTTGCGGTCTTCGAGAGAGAGGCAAAAGCACAATGCTAACAATCTTCGCAATAGGTTCGGGCGAGAGTGGTAAATCAACAATAGTCAAGCAGATGAAAATCATACATCAGAATGGCTACACGAAGGATGAGTTGGCTTTGTACCGATTGACGATCTACAAAAATTTGATTGATTGTGCAAAAGCATTGTTCGGTGCCATGCGACAGATGGAGATCGAGCCAACAAATCCAGCGAATAATGATTATGGTGCATTTCTGATGGAATATATCGTCGACCCAGATCCTCATACACCACTTAATCCCCGAGTTGGCACGGCCGTGGCATCGTTATGGAAGGATGAATTTATCGAGCGTGTATTGGCCAGACAAAGTGAATTCTACTTGATGGATTCGGCACCATAGTATGTATTCTGCATTCTGTAATGCAAAGGAAATGATACTAACTCATGTCAGTTTCTTCGAAGAGGCTGGAAGAATAGCAGCACACGATTACATCCCTACCGAAGCCGATGTTTTGAGAGCCAGAACAAAGACAACCGGTATCTATGAGACCAGATTCGCCATGGGCTCTTTGAGTATACAGTCAGTATTAATGTTAGCTTTCTACGCTCCGCGCTAACTTTGTGATAGTATGTTTGATGTAGGCGGTCAAAGAAGTGAGAGAAAGAAGTGGATTCATTGTTTCGAAAATGTAACTTCAATCATATTTTGCGTTGCATTGAGTGAATATGATCAGGTCCTTTTGGAGGAGAGTAATCAGGTGAGAGTCTTCTCTGTCGTCTCATAATAATTCTAACGATGTACAGAACCGTATGATGGAGAGTCTCGTCTTATTTGATTCGGTCGTCAACTCAAGATGGTTCATGCGAACCAGTATCATTCTTTTCCTCAATAAAGTTGATTTGTTTAAACAAAAGCTTGGTCGATCACCTCTTGAGAGTTACTTCCCGGACTATTCTGGCGGAAATGATCTGAATAGGGCCGCGAAGTATTTGCTCTGGCGATTCAACCAAGTCAATAGAGCTCATCTGAATCTATACCCACAGTAAGTCCCATTCAAGTATCCTCCGGATTGGACACATTTAACAATCATAGTCTCACACAAGCAACCGATACTTCGAATATTCGACTAGTATTCGCTGCTGTTAAAGAGACGATATTACAAAACGCTCTCAAAGACTCGGGCATACTCTAATCAGATGAGAGTATGGTGTATGATGAATAATGTCCTAATCTATATAATTCACCTCATAGTGACTGGAAATTGGCGTTTGGTTTAGGAGTTTAGGGAAGGATGTTTGACCAGACTATAAGGGGTATACTGCATGATCTGGAATTGGATGACTCTCGGTAGGCAGGTAGGGGGGTAATATTGCACGAACAACGATTTTTACGTCGTTTGAATTTGATCAGCGGGGTGGATGGTATCAACTTCCATGACTTTTACATATGTGTGGGATTACATATTGCAATTGTGAGGAGTTTTGGGGACAACGGAATATGGGAAACCCATCGGTTGGAATTTGGGGGGAAAACCGACGAAATTGGTGGATGGGTTGGGTTGGGTTTCAGCGAGAATAGCATTTGAAGGTTTACAAATACGGATGGATCAGGAGATCTAGCCAGTGTCGCTGTCATATTGGAGGATGGGGGTGGTAAATGGGAGATGCATGTGCAAATGCGTGTGAGATTCCAATGACAGTGTAGAGAGAAGAAACTCAAACGATTGAATTCAGTGTCGATTATTTTGATGCTTGAATGAATAGTTTAGATTAGTTATGTAGTTATATAATATAAGATTACATTGTTTATATGGATTTGTGTGTGAGAGTGTATGATATGTGATGTGATGCGTGATAGTGATACGTGATGATAGTGAGTGAGTGAGTGTATCTTGGCTAAATAGGGAAGCATGGTATGTATCTATTTGAATATGAAATATAGTACTCGAGTAAAGTAGAGTAGAGTACTCGATTATATATATGGACAAAGGTTTTGATAACTTGAGATCTAGGAATCTGGGAAATTTGTTGAGGTGGAATGGGATGGTTGAAGGGAGTGGTTAGATTGGGTAGGTTGGGAGAAGTGTGGGTTGGGAGAGTGTGGGTATGGGTACTGGTATGGGTATGTGGGTATGGGTATGTGAACATGAGCATGTGAGGGGATTAATTTGTTATGTGTGGTGTTTATGTGAGGGGATTATTCTGTTATGTGTGGTGTTTATGTATGATTTTTATGATGTGTATAATGTGAATAAAGGAATAGAGGAAGGAGAAGAGTAGAATAGATGGTTGATATAGAGGGGAGAGGGTTTGGTTTGGTGGGCTGGATAAATGGAGTAAAGGAGAGGGTGGAGGGTGGAGGGAGGATATAGAGATGAGGATTTTGTTGATGGGTCACGGTGGGATATGTATGGAAGGAATATGAGATGGATTATATATATTCGAGTATATACTCGAGTATATAGCGGGATATATTTTGAGTGAGCAAATACAAATGGTGAACAGAGAAAACCGGGAAATGTCACGGTTTCTTGAATATATTAATTGATGTTTAACCCCACACACACTACGAGTACAATACCGATTGGTAGACTTGCATATGAAATGGATGTCTAGGGCTTTTATAACTCAGGGCTCATAGGGTGGTATCGTACGGGTTGGTTGTCAAGGAACGGTTGGACCGGGTAGGTAGAGAGGAGGGGAGAGAGAGAGGGGGGGGAAAGAGGGAAAGAGGGAAAGAGCTATCAATATGGTATGGTATCACTTTTTTATCATGAGATGATATAATTCTTGCATTTAATCTATTTACTTTTTCTTACTCTTTCTCTTCCTCTTTCTCATTACCAAAATACAAGTTACACAACGAGTCTTCTCATATCCGTATCTTTCTTTGACTTATTCACCTCACCTACTGGAGGATTCACTGAGTTTTGGAATATCCCTTATTTTATATCTACTTTATTACTCTACTCTACTCTACTCTACATACATATTACCTATTACATCTTCCACCCCTCAAACTCATCATCCCCCACAACCAAAAGTAACTGGACCCGATCTCGACCATTGACCCCGCATCCAACAACGAACGAGAAATCACCACATACATACATCTTCCATACTTACCCTACTCGCCTTTCTTTAAATATCGTGCATAGTCTTGCATTACTTCTTATTTGATTCTCTTCTTTCTGGTGTATGCTCTTTTACATTTGAATTTACACAATATCGATCACATCGTCGTATCGAAAAGGAAAAAAAAGGGAAAGACAAGAAAGCAAAATGGCAACGACAACTAGAGAAAGACGTCCTTCAACTGGTGGTCCTATCAGTGAGCTACAAGGGCCTGTTGGTCCCGCTGGTATCACTAGACCTAAGCATAAGCGTACTTTTACGGGGTTTGGGGCGGGGGAGATCAAGAGTGTTGAAGGTATGATCTATTTCTCGACTTTATCAAATGTCACTCCCATTTCAGATTCCATACATGGGATTTGGTGGTGGTTCATGCTAATATTTCCTTCACATAGCATCCATTCCTGAACCTCAACGCGAAGCATGGAAGAAATATACCGCTAAAGGATTCGAGAACAAGGAAGAGTTTGAGAAAGAAGTCGTTCGTCATGTTGAAACTACATTGGCTCGTAGTATGTTCAACTGCGATGAGACGGCTGCATATGCTGCTGCCAGTTTGGCTTTCAGAGATAAATTGATCACGGAGTGGAATCGTACGCAGCAGAGACAAACTTTTGCGGATAGCAAACGTGTGTACTATTTGAGTTTGGAGTTCTTGATGGGCAGAGCGCTGGATAATGCTATGTTGAATGTTGGGTTGAAGAATGTTGCTAAAGGTATGTTTGGATGTTGTGAGAATATTCATTGTCTGTAATCTCTAACTATTTACAGAGGGTCTTTCGGATCTTGGCTTCCGAATTGAGGATATCATCAACCAAGAGCATGATGCTGCGCTGGGTAATGGTGGTCTTGGTCGATTGGCAGCTTGTTTCCTAGACTCTCTTGCATCTTTGAGCTATCCAGCGTGGGGTTATGGTCTGAGATACAGATATGGTATCTTCAAACAAGAAATTGTAGATGGATATCAAGTCGAGGTTCCAGATTACTGGCTTGACTTCAATCCTTGGGAGTTTCCAAGACATGATATAGTTGTTGATGTAGGTCTTCGACACCATTCTCACTTAATACGGAGCTAATGTTCATCAGATCCAATTCTATGGTCACGTTAGAAGATTCCAGGATGAGGAAGGAAAATCAAATACCGTCTGGGAAGGTGGAGAGATCGTCAAGGCCGTGGCTTATGATGTTCCAATCCCTGGTTATGATACCCCTGCCACCAACAACTTACGTCTTTGGTCTAGTAAGGCGGCTAGTGGCGAATTCGACTTTCAAAAGTTCAACAGCGGTGATTATGAGAGTTCGGTAGCTGAACAACAGCGTGCCGAGACTATCAGTGCTGTATTATACCCCAACGACAACCTCGATCGTGGAAAGGAGCTTCGTCTAAAGCAACAGTACTTCTGGGTTGCGGCTTCATTATACGACATCGTTCGTCGATTCAAGAAGTCCAAGCGTGCCTGGAAAGAATTTTCGGACCAAGTTGCTATCCAGTTGAATGATACTCATCCAACCCTTGCAATCGTTGAACTTCAACGTATTCTTGTTGACCTTGAAGGCCTCGAGTGGGATGAGGCATGGGGAATCGTCACCAAGACCTTCGGTTACACTAATCACACTGTCCTTCCTGAGGCTCTCGAGAAATGGTCTGTTCCTCTCTTCCAAAACTTGCTCCCCAGACATCTTCAAATTATCTATGAAATCAACTTGTTCTTCCTACAAACTGTGGAACGTAAATTTCCTGGAGAGAGAGATCTACTTGGCCGAGTCTCTATTATCGAAGAATCTCAACCAAAAATGGTTCGCATGGCTTTCTTGGCTATCGTTGGTTCTCACAAGGTCAATGGTGTGGCTGAACTTCACTCTGATTTAATCAAGACCACTATTTTCAAGGACTTTGTGAAGATTTTCGGCCCTGACAAGTTCATGAATGTCACGAACGGTATTACACCTAGAAGATGGCTTCACCAAGCTAACCCTAGATTATCCGAGCTGATTGCCAGCAAGCTTGGAGGTCACGATTTCCTCAAGGATCTTACTCTTCTTAATAAGCTCGAAGCATTCGCTGATGACAAGGAGTTCAAGAAAGAATGGCAGGAAATTAAGTATGCCAACAAGGTTCGCTTGGCCAAACACATCAAGACGACTACTGATGTCACGGTTAACCCTGCTGCCCTATTTGATATTCAAGTCAAGCGTATACACGAGTATAAGCGTCAACAAATGAATATCTTTGGGGTCATTCACAGATACTTGACTATTAAAGCCATGAGTGCAGAAGAGCGCAAAAAGTTGGCACCTCGTGTCTCGATCTTCGGTGGAAAAGCTGCTCCAGGTTACTGGATGGCAAAGACCATCATTCACCTCATCAACAATGTTGGCTTTGTTGTTAATAACGACAAAGATGTTGGAGATCTTTTGAAGGTCATCTTTTTGGAGGATTACAACGTATCCAAGGCTGAGATGATCTGCCCTGCAAGTGATATCAGTGAGCACATCTCGACAGCAGGTACAGAAGCTAGTGGAACTTCAAACATGAAGTTTGTGTTGAATGGTGGTTTAATTATTGGTACTTGTGATGGTGCTAATGTAAGTTCATTCTTATTACCTTCGTCGCACAATCCTAATCAATCTTTAGATCGAAATTACACGTGAGATTGGAGAGAACAACATCTTCCTCTTCGGGAACTTAGCCGAAGATGTTGATGATCTTCGTCATGCACATACTTATGGTTCTACTCAACTTGATCCCGATCTTCAGAAAGTCTTTGAGGCAATTCAAAAGGGTACTTTCGGTGACGCTAGCTCATTTGCTGCTCTTGTTGGTGCCATTCGAGATCATGGTGATTACTATCTCGTTTCCGATGATTTCAACAGCTATAACCAAACACAAGCTTTGGTAGATGAAGCCTATAAGAATCAAGATGAGTGGACAACAAAGACTATTACTAGTGTGGCTAGAATGGGGTTCTTTAGTAGTGATAGGTGTATTAATGAGTATGCGGAGTCGATTTGGAATATTGAACCGTTGGTTGCGAAGAAGGAAGAGACTGCTGGACAGAATTGAGAGTTGCGAGATGGAATAATGATAAGGTTTGGAGATGAAGGTTGGGGATGTGGATGGAGAACCATTTGATGATGTTGAGGGCGAGGAAATGAGTACACGAGAAAGTGCGCTACGATACAAAAGGAAACGACACATTGCATCATGATTAGTTTAGATTGAAGAACGAAATTCCTATCAACTACCTACTGCTTTTTAAAAAATGTCCCGTTACTTTTTGTTCACTGAATGGATGTTAGTGAATGTGATGTTGTACATGCACTTTACCTATCTTTGTACTCGAGTAGATGGTGATTTTAAAGGGTTTACTGCTTATTCGAGGTTTTGGGTACTAGTGACTTCTTACTACTGCAGTAGTTATGAGTTACTTCGGGCGTTACGAAGGACACTGTGTGATTTATAATTTATATTTTATGAGTTATTGGATTGTGCGATGTTGGTTGGGGAATATGTATGCGTTGTATACATTATTTACTGTACAGATGCAATACAACTATCTCGCATAGAGAAGTTTCTTGTAAATTGTGATTGTGATTGTGATTGGCGTGACACAACTTGTGGTGTGACGTGAACGTGACGTGACCATGATACTTATTACCCCTCATTTCAAACCCCCGCACTTTCTATATGGTATGGGTCACAAATGCTTGTTGTTTGTTGAGATATCTATTTAATTGATTGTGGTGAACTATCTATTGGAAAGTATTGAAAAGAGAAGAGAAGAGAAGAGAAGAGAAGAGAAGAGAAGTTGCCTCTTTTATGCGCAAGTTTATAGGAAAGGAAAGGAAAGAAAGCTCGATATTTGGAATTGGAAAACGTTTCAAAAGCATTAGGATTTACCTTCCTATGCCAGCAACATAATATCCCACCAAACCCCATCAGTATCACCATCACCATCACCACCAACCATGACATCCACCATCCCAATCACCATCCCATCCCCATCCACATCCACATCCCCACCCACCACCGAACACAAGATCCTCGGCCATCGCCTCAAAAACAAAGTCGCAATCGTCACAGGCGGCGGATCCGGCTTCGGCGAAGGCATCGCGCGACGCTTCGCAGAAGAAGGATGCAAAGTCACCATTGCAGATATGGATTCGGTGGGGGGTGAACGCGTGGCTAGTGTGCATCCGAGAAGTATGTTGTTTGTCAGAATGAATGTTACGTGTGAGGAGGATTGGGAGAGGGTGTTGGAGACGACGTTGGCGAAGTGGGGGAGGGTTGATGTTTGTGTTAATAATGCGGGGACTAGTTATAGGAATAAGGTTAGTGGGTTTTTGAATTAGTGAGGGGTGGTTGGGGGAGGAGGAGATGTGAGAGAGGGAGGGTGATGGAGTTGTATGTATATGAAACTAATTTGAAAATAGCCAACTCTAGATGTTATCGAAGATGAATTCGACAAGGTCTTTAATGTCAATGTCAAATCTATCTTCTACGCAACAAGACACTTTATTCCGAATCTTATCAATCAGGGCGAAGGTGGTTCTATGATTAACATCGCATCCATTGGAGCTACTCGTCCTCGTCCAGGTCTTGTTTGGTATAATGCTAGTAAAGCTGCTGTGAACAATGTAAGTAATCTTACTTCACTCATACTGAGTTTAGTACAACATCATCACATAATTTATCTAACACAATACAAAAAAAGGCCACCAAAGGACTCGCAGCGGAATTTGGATCCAAAAATATTCGAATCAATTCTATCTGTCCTCTTCTGGCAGGAACTGGCCTGTATGTATTTTCAGGTTTCATTTTCTCAATTCAATATCTCTCTATTTCTATTTCTATTTGTATAGACATAGACATATACTAATATATAATATACTCAATAGCTTCTCGACCTTCACGGGTATGGATGATACACCGGAGAATAGAGATAAGTTCCTTTTTAATGTGCCGCTGGGTCGTCTTTGTACCCCGGAGGATGTGGCGAATTATTGTTTGTTTTTGGCGAGTGATGAGGCGAGGTTTATTACGGGCACGTGTTTGGAGGTTGATGGGGGGAGGGGGGTTTGAGGGGAGGGGTGGAAAGGTGGGGATAGGGATGAGGATGAGGGGGGGAGGGAATGAGGGAATGAGGGGAGGGGTGGAGGGAGATGTGGAGGGAGAGGTGGGAAGAATGGTAAGAAGGATGGTGGGAAGGATTATACGGTTATTGATCGATTGGTGGGGCTTGGGAAAGGGGTAATGTTTGGAATGGAAACGGAAACGGAAGCGGAAACGGAAGCGGAAGCGGATATAGGTGCTATTATTGATCTATTCATAATGAAAATCGATATGAATTACAGATATAGTAATTTTGAAGACAGTGATTGAGGTATCTATTAGATTTTTGAGAATCTAGGATCTGGAATCTAGAGCTACTACGGAGTAGAAACAAATAGTTAATTATCTATCCCACTCATTTGCTATCAAGTTAATCTAGTCGCACTACGAGTACTTGTACATACAAGTATACAGTACTCGAATGCCAATCATTTCCTAAATAGTTACAGGGATATCTTTATATGTGACAATAATGTCTCGGTTTGACAAAGAATGTCAAATGTCTTGTTGTCTTGTTGTTTTGTCTTAACCCCGCACCTTGGATTCTTAATTTGTGTAATCTCAGCTCACTTCAATAGAACACACCTAATCTAACCCAACCTAATTCAATATAAATCCAACTATAACCATAACAGTTTTATCTCCCGTTCTTTCTCGTTTCTCATCTACCTCTATACAATATCACCATTACATCAAAACTTCCTTAACAATCAATCTCCCCAAATATCTTCTTCATTTCAAAATAACGAACTATACACACACTTCCCATCCCATCCTATCAGATCCCCAAGAAACAAAACAAAACAAAGCGCAAAAATGAATCCCCAACATCCAAATCTCAACAATAATCTTGATGATGAAGCATTAAAATCACTAATAGCAAATTTGAAAAATGAGGTGCCTAAAATACAGGTTTTGGGTAAAGAGGATGAGGGGTATAGGGAGGGGATAGCGAGGTGGTCGGGGGCGGCGGAGAAGGAGGCGGTGGGTTTTTGTTTTTCTTTTCTTTATTTTCTTTATTTTCTTTATTTTTTGGGGGGATAGGGGGAGAAGGGAGAAGGGGAAGGAGGAAAAAGGAAGAAAGGGAGGAGAAAGGGGGGGAGGAGGGGGTTGTCTGTCTGTTTGTTTGGGGGAGTTAAAGAGTGGGGGTTGTACGAAAGAAGTTTACTTTGGGGGTTTGGAGCTGTGTAAGGTGTGATCTGGATAGATGGGTAGCTGATTGATGCATTTTATTGGAATTGATAATGTTTGGGGGGGGGGGGGGGGGGGAAGAGGATTTTGGGATTAACTTGTTCGAATGACTTGTTAATGGCCGAGGGCGTGGAGATATACCAAGTGGGATATCTCAATGCTGTCTCATCTATACATATTTAAATTCTGCATTTTCTACTATATTGTTTTCTAACTTCGATTTCTAGGCTCTGGTGGTCTTCCCTACTACCGCTGAAGATGTCTCCAAGATTGTTCTCTTTGCTAAGGCTAATAATCTCGATTTCGCAGGTATGTATCTTTGATGATTGATTCCCTGTTACTCTCTTCTTAAATCATTCAATATTCAAAGTCTTTCTTTTCCCATCGTTACACTTTCTCCCTCTCCAATCTCCCCATCCCCACATCTCCACTCAATCACAGCATATTCAGTCCTACAACTAACTCCCCATCATAGTCGTTGGTGGCGGACACGGTTCTTCCGGATCATCCTCAACCCACAACGGCCTCTCTCTCAATCTCTCAAAGATGCGCAACGTGACCATCGACCCCCTCACCAAATCCGCCCTCTGTCAAGGCGGCTGTCTCTGGACCGACGTCGACACCGCCGCTTCCACCCATGGTCTCGCCGCCGTCGGCGGCACCGTAAACCATACCGGAATCGGAGGACTTACCCTAGGAGGCGGCTACGGATTTCTGACCCCCAAATACGGCATGGTAATCGACAATCTGCTCGAAGCCGAAATCGTTCTCGCCAATGGACAAATCGTCACATGTTCCGCGCACCAAGAACCCGATCTCTTCTGGGCCATCCGCGGAGCCGGTATTAGTTTCGGAGTCGCCACCAGTTTCACCTATCGCCTGCACCCCCAACCCAACCGTGTCTGGGGCGGCATCCTCGTCTTTCCACGCGAAAAACTCGAAGCCATCATCTCCTTCGCCAACACAATCGTAAGTCCCAGTGAAGAAAAAGCCCTTCTCCTCCTAGGATTTGGCGCTCCGCCCCCCGCCTTCCAACCCGCCATCCTCACCCCCATCTTCTACAACGGCCCTGAAGCCGAAGCTCGCGCGTACTACCAACCGCTATTTGCGCTCGAACCCCTCGCAGACACAACACAGGAAATGGACTACGTAAACGCCAACACCATGCTCAACGAACCCATGGCCCACGGACTCCGTCGCAACATGAAGGGCGCCGCATGCATGCTCCCACTCACTTACACCTTTGCCGCCGAAATATTCTCGGAGACAGAGAAATTCCTGCGTGAAACACCGGATGCCAAATATACAATGGTGATTTTTGAATACATACCCTTTGGCAAGATTCTGCAAGTGGGACAACAGGAAACGGCATTTGCAAATCGGGGCGCGTATGGGAATTTGTTGTTTGGACCGGGCTGGGAAGAGGAGGCGACGGATCAAAAGTGTAGGGAGTGGTGTCGACGGATGGCGCGGAAGGCAAAGGGGGAGTTGGAACGGAGGATGGAGGAGGGCACGGATGAAATTACTAGGGATGGGGTGGGGGCTTATTCGAATTATGATGGTGGTGAGTATTATTTCTCGTTTTCTTTTCCGGCTTTTTGCTTTGCTTTTTTGCTGTTTCCTCGATCGCTTGTGGACTCTGGGTCTAGGATATTTGTTTACCCCTTTTGAATATAATATTCCCAAGGCAACACTTCCTCATATCTTTCAGAAGCGAAACTAACAGATAGAATAGCGGATCATGAGGGAGGTAGATTAGTCTACGGCATCAACTATCCTCGTCTTGCCCAGTTGAAGAAGAAGTATGATCCCGAGAACTTGTTTTCCAAAGGTCCGGATCTTGTTTCCTAAATCCCTGGATTTGTATTCGGACGCTAGAGTCGGATTTTTTTATTAGCTATGGTATTATCCTCTGCACATTGTGTAGTCGGTAGTTTGAACCGCTTGGGAGATTGTCTTATAGTTGGTCGGATGATTTTATTTCCTGTTCATTTGATTCGTGAAGTTCCAAGCTTTTGACTACCTATGCAGTTTCGGGAGGCCGTAGTTTAATTGACAGATTGAGCATTATAAACTCAATTGACTGGCGATTGGATTCAATGAATTCAACTACCAGTTAAACTAATAATTAGTCTGGAAAATCCAATTCAATTGACAGTTTGAACCTATTGAACTAAACCAACTGGCAGTTTGGGCTTACCAAATTGAACTGCTAATCAACCAATGCACAAGTTTAATTGGTTTTTGATTGACCATATTGTCTGCACAGAAGTATACCGATTGAATTTTCATACAAGAGACTATGCAGTGAACAATAGTGCATACGATAAAGAAAACCTTTGGTATATCAATTTCCATCCTATGTAGAGCTAAGTAGGTAATGCTAAAACATAGAAACTTGCGCCAATCCCCCCACCCCATTGCCGGTACCAACTACCCCCTCTGATGTTTCCCGCTTGCGAAAAATAGACAAATGCAATATGCATACAATTAATAAGACCCTTCAAACAAAAACAAAAAGTAAACTATCCCTATCTAAAAATCGAATCGATCTGGTAGCACTACAGGTGCAACCAGTGTCCAGGTATAGATACCATAGCATACCCATGAACTAACAATCTTGACCCATGATGCCCAGTATGTTCTTCCTACAGGCGCGAAATTTGTGTTTCCATCTGTATACTCATCCATGTTCATGGTGAGAAGTGTAGCTACCCAGGTGGTTGCCAGGAAGAAGATTACGTGGAATAATGCGTAGCTGTATTGTGTTGAGGTTCTCTCGTCATCTTTGGCGGTGTTTCCACTGTCGCTTTCATCATCGTCATCTAGAAGAGCGTCGGCAGGGAGACTACCTTCTTCTACAGCTTGTCGAAGGGCTGCGGCACGCATTTCACGGCGGCTATCTGGTTGTTGCGTGACAAGATCATGCTCGTCATCTTCGGGCAATGTGATTCTCTTTCCCTTTCCTCCCAAAGCTACTCCTTGTGTTGCGGCCCTGGTTGTTGTATATGCGACGGTCAACATAGTGACAATCGCACCAATGATGATGGAGGTTGTTCGAGTGCCCTGAGCTCGGATGAGAGGATTACAATGTTTGGTATCAGGCTCCATAGATACTGCAGACATGGTAAGGTATGTGCAGTAAATAGCCACCATGGCAGATTGAGCCAAACCTGCTCTAGGATTGAATTCTTGGACCATGGGGTGGACAGAGACGACAGAGACGATGATCAGGAAGATCAGGTTGAGAGTGATAGCGGTCTGGTTCATCGAGCATCCAGCGCTAGCGAAGAAAATATACTGAACAATGGTCATTGCCACCGAACATGCGTACATGCCCAATGTTGATCCGATCAAGATGCCTCTCCAAGCTCGGGAATCATATGCCTCAATCTGTTCAAGACAGTATTCCGCCCATGTATGCGCAAGGTCTACCAGTAGAATAAGTCCAAGGAGGAGGAATAGTGTTGACCCGGTAAATGCGATATAATTGCCCCATACCAAAAAGAATCCATCTGGAATCAAGAACGAAACTACGACCAAGGCCAACCAGGCAATGATTTTTGGACCCCAGAAGCCATTTTGTATTGCTGCACGAGGATTCTTCGAAGAGTTGACGCCTAAAAGCATCGCTGCCATTATAAGATGGAAAATGCCGAGTGCGAAATTGATCCGGTGAACCGCGACCCAGCCATAACATTCTCCCTCCGGACAACTAATCGTCATATAATCCAACGTCAAGCCTTGTAGTTTATTGATTGCCCATGGCGTTAGCATTATCCATGATAATATCGAATTGATTAAAAGGATGAGGGCGTATGCGATACGAGTGGCAACACTATTCAACTATCAATCCTTATCGCACGACATCCTCGAGTTTGAAGACATACCTGTTACCGCACTTCCCACAAGCACTGCACACGGCAGAACATGTTGCTGCTCCACAGCAGCTTGCAGCGAAACCGATCACCTAAGAATATAAGCTATCTCTCCATATCAACCTCCAAGGTAGAACTCACAGTGCCTATGCTTGGCACAGCCAACAAAGGAAGTGAAAGTAGAGCGCCCATATTTGTGCTCTACGATACTGTCGCGATATTAATGACTCTCTTCAAGTGTTGTCTATGAAAGCCAGTATCAGTAATAGTTGAGATAAATCTTGAAGAATAACGTTGGAAGTTGCTTGGTTGATGTGTGTAATGGCTCAGACTCACTCGGCTTGTGTGATCCGCGCGGCTGATGAAAATGACCTGCATTAGTGCGGTGATGGTTTGTAAGACCCACCGTAAACGAAGTTGATAAGGAGGCATTAGTGCTATTGATGTTGCTGATAACAGACGTACGTGTATGTAGACGACAGCAAGAGGATACTTTAATTTCTTTCAGATAATTACACGTTTTTACTTAGAGCCACTTAGGAAACTATTGTCTTTCATTCATAAAACATATCATTTCCCATTCTATGCCAGTGAACATCCTTCTTTTGCTTTGGGTTTTGCAATGATTAAGAGGTGAAGCTTTACAACCTCCCTTAAACCATAGCGATAACGGAATCATCAATATGCCAACAGAAAAGCCATTACAAGCAGCGAGAATAGTATCAAGTGTTGCAGCAACATGTATCGCATTGGCGTGCGGGACAAACTATGCTTTCTCCAATTGGGGTCCGCAGTTCGCTGATAGATTGAGGTTATCTTCAACACAGATTAATCTGATAGTATGATTACTCTACGCCAACCCTTCGATTCTTGATATCATGCTAATTGGTAAAATAGGGACTATTCGGGAATTTGGGTATGTATGCATGCGGGATACCAATCGGGTTATTAGTAGATGGGAAAGGGCCTCGACCTGCCGTGATATTGGGAATGCTATTACTTGCCGCAGGATACTTTCCCCTATATCAAGCATATGTTAGAGGGTCTGGATGGCTACCACTACTTTGCCTATATTCATTCTTCACTGGTTTAGGAGGATGTGCCGCTTTCGCAGCTTCCATTAAGACTTCAGCTCTTAATTGGCCACACAACAGAGGCACTGCGACAGCCTTTCCCCTGGCGACTTTTGGACTCAGCGCATTTTTCTTTTCAGCCTTCACTGCATTTACGTTTCCTGGAGATGCCGGACATTTCCTGTTAGTTCTAGCCTGTGGTACAAGTGGAACCGTGTTTCTAGGATTCTTCTTCCTTCGGGTGATACCGCATGCCCATTACTCGGCCCTACCCGGCCATAATCAATCCCAGTCAAATCGACTTCATCGCACGAAATCGGAGGAAAGCAAGCGACGAGCAGAAAGAGACGACTTGGATCCAGAATCCGGTATGTTGTTCCCATTTGTTGCGTCTGCGGGCAAACACCATATCCTAAACCATCATGTGATAGGGGCAATGGTACCTGAGAACGGCGTCACGTCAGATACCGACGAGACCTCCTCCTTGATGTCAAAATCAACCGATGAAGAATCACGAGAAAATGTAGACGAAACTGACAAGAAGGACCATTCGCGACGTGTAGATATTCGAGGATTCCAGTTATTCAAAACAGTGGAATTTTGGCAATTATTCGCCTTGATGGGGATTCTGACGGGTATTGGTTTGATGACTATTAAGTAAGTCTTACATTCCAAACCTATGAGAAACTCTGAAATTAATTCCCTCTAGTAACATCGGGAACGATGCCCAAGCACTTTGGCGTCACTGGGATGATTCAATTCCTGAAGAATTTATCATGCATCGCCAAGCAATGCATGTATCGATTCTCTCCATCTGTTCATTCACCGGCCGTCTTCTCAGTGGTATGTCTTCCTCTCCAAATAGCCTCTACATTCACTAACATTCCCCCTTAGGAGTCGGTTCCGACTTCCTTGTCAAAGTCCTCCGCTGCAGCGGCCTCTGGTGTCTAACCCTCGCCTCTATAATCTTCCTCATCGCCCAAATCGCCGCCCTTAACACCGAAAACCCGCACCTCCTCTTTCTCGTCTCCTCTTTCACCGGCCTCGGCTATGGCTTCCTATTTGGATGTTTCCCCTCCCTCGTAGCCGAAGCCTTTGGCGTGAACGGCCTCTCTACAAATTGGGGTTTCATGACTCTCTCCCCCGTTCTCTCGGGATACATCTTTAACCTTTTCTACGGAGTCGTCTATGATCATCATAGCGTCGTGAAAGATGGCGGTGTGAGGGAATGTACAGAAGGTCTGCAATGTTATCGCAGCGCATATTTGGTCACGGTTACGGCGTCGGTGTTGGGCTTGTTGGTTAGTTTGTGGTGTATTAGATTCACGCATTTGGAGAGACTGGAGGAAACGAGGAAACTTGAGGCGGATGAGAGGGAGGAGTGATGAGACTTGTTTCTGGGTTTCACAATTACAGACATAACTCCGACAAGGATGAAACAGAAGAACGATGATGGACGGAGGTGTTCTTTCTACTTAAATGTCTGATAGCAGAAAGATATGGGCGGGGGTTTGAAGGGGAGGGATGGGGGTGCCCGGTGTTAGTTTTGGTGTTTGTTTTTGGATAAAATTAGAAGGATTGGGTTGAATTGGATAGGATAGATAGGTGGATGGATGGATGAATGCCCAATTGGCTACTATAGAGAGGTTTAGACCGGGCATTAGGAGGTGAATTCTTCATTTCCCCCCCCCATTCTTCCTTCGATAGGGAACAGATAAATGGAGTGAAATATTCCCGTAAAGACAAGTAAATGCGTGATATCAAACTGGTAATATCAAACTGGTAATATCAAACGAAAGGCCCCTGAATTCATTAAATCTGATTTCATCTCATCTCATCATATCGCACCACATCAAATGTTCAAGTATATGTCATCTAAATACCAATATTTCACGGTTTTCCTCCCTCCCCTGCGTCACATATTCCGGGATCTCACATCATCATCAAATGTTCAAGTATAAGCAAGTAAGCAAGCAAGTAAGTAGCAGAACCAAAACATTATGTAATAATCTGGAGTCTATATTCAATTATGCCCTCCGCATCCATCACCTCACACCCATCCCATGCACACATGCGACACTCCAGAATCCTCAAGGACCATTTCCCGTTTTCCAAACCAAAGGGTATATAAGCAAGCAAGCAACACAGCACACTGACAGCACAATACGGTTTTGACACATCGATTCTTCTTCTCCTCATTCCCCTCCTCCCTCATCCTCCTTTCCTGTTGCCTGAGCGAAAGACTTGAAGAATAAGATATGGGAGACTTTTTCTCTGTCCGCCTTATGCAACCAACCTTATTCATCCATCTATTTATCTATCCATCCATCAAATATACACTTCATCAATCACATCACCTTCCTCATTCTACTGCACCCCTCCCTGTTTCTTAATCCCTACTCCCTTCCCTCATCATCCAATCTTCTTCTTACCATCAGAAGAAGGTATAATATAAAACATTAAAAGGTAGCCAAATTCTTTCATCACTGCCCGGCCACGGCACTATTATCCCTCGCCTTCCTCCTCCCTTAATGTACGCTCCCCTCGTCACCTCCCAGAGCCATTAACACAACACCGCCATACATCAGCGTATCACAAAAATGTAGATATGTGCGTAGATACAGTTTGCAGCCAAAAGAAGAAGGAAACTCCCCTATGTACAGCGCTCATGCGTGTAGTTTTTGTGAATGAAGGTTTATATATGAACATCATTCACCACCAACAAAAGAAGTGAAGTCTAGAAAAAAAGTAGGTCTGGAATGGACGTGTGATAACGACCAAAAATTCTATACTTGATTGAATACGCCGAAAAGTCTAGTGCGTGAAAAAAAAAAGTTGTTCATGGATGGTTGTAGATGCCTCTGAATTCAACCGATTAGAAGAGTAGTTTGGGCCGAATAAGGTAGAGGGCGTTGAATCGTGAATCGTTGGATATGGTGTTACTATAGATAGTTTCTTTGAAACAGTACTGCCGTTCAAGGTGTCTTTCCGCGTTTCCGAGTGTTTTCGTTGCTCTCCGAGTCGAACATAGTTGTTACACCTGCAAGTGTCCAATTCGAAGTTGATGAATGAATGGCGACGAGCCACGCGGCCACAATATTAACCAGATAGTGGAGCATGTATGCATACGTTACTCCATATACTGCAGCGTATATCGAGATACCGAAGAAAATAACACTGGTAACGTGGCGAACGCGTGATGTGACCCGAGGTACCATCTTTCCACTCGTTAATGTTTCTACCAAAAGAATGAATGGCATGATGGAGAGGACATTATGATGAGAGGAGAATGGTGTTAGCCAATGGACAGCCAAATTATGAATCCACACGACGAGAATTGGGAGGTTGATCGGCAATATCCATAACATCAGAACAAGTATTGAGTGGACGTAGTTGTAAAAATTATAGTTTGTGTTAGAACGTGCTTCCCGGGCAAATCGAAGAGCTCTTGTGCAGGTGGCCATTTGCACCAGGCACGCCACCAGATACGCGAATTGGTAAGGAATCACGGTAGACACTAAGAATAATAGTATTCCTGTCGTAAATACTCGTCTTCGTGGAGAAGATGGTGCAAATGCGGGAGATGATGCCCTTTTCCTATCCTCATTACGCAACCATGCAGGCTTAACAGTCAACCAGCCATATAGGACGCTCAAAATGTGAGTAATGGTCAATGTGGCATAGTTGACCATCACACATACGCCAATGCAGACAAGTCCAATAAGAGGGACCATGAACCAGAAGAAAGGATCCTGTGAACCCACAAGCAGATCATTTTTGCTATAGTCGACGAAAGTCTCGGATGCATTTTTTCCCCATCCTAAGAAGCCCGTAGGAGCTCCTTGAGGCGGTGCCGTGCTTGCCTGAGAAAACGATATTGACAGGCATGTAAGAGCTAGTAGCACCAGAGGTAAAGACTGTCGCAAACATAAGTCTAAACTCTCGCCAAAGGAAATGAAAATTCCAGTCTCATCATACATTCGGAATTGCTTCCTCAATACAAGGGCAACAACAAGCAACGGAAAGGCTGCAAAGACCGTCCGATAGCGCATATACAGCTTTCCCAGACTGCCTGGAATATCAACACTCAACGAGATTTTGATGCTCGAATTGCAGGTCGGGTCAGTCCAGAATTGAAGACTCAATCCATCTTGGATAGCTTTGTATTTAAGTGCAGGTGGCATAAATGGAGAAACTCCATGGAGATTGATGGTTGCTTGCTTCACATTCACAAAGTATTTTGACTCATAAGGTTCCGAAATATACTGACGTAGAAGAGGGGTGAAAAGTTCCGATTCCTCGCCACACACCTGATTTCCCATTTCCAGATTGTATGCCAGTAGGCTCGAGTGTACGGCGGGTATTTTGACCTCGGCAACCATTGGTCGGTTTGGTGGGAGCCTCATCTTCATGCCAAAAGCTGATAGACGTCGAAGACTCAACGATCTGATTCGATGTGACTGAACATTATCACTAAATTCGGCAATCACCCATCCAGGGGTAGGGTCAACTGCTTTGTCCACGATGGCAACGAATTGGTGGTCGATAATATCCTCCAAATCATATTGCAGATAAGAGAATGGCAAAATTTCTTCCTCCTCATCCAGATAGAAGGGCTTCTTCGATGTTCTCGTCGATGCTGGCAAAGAAATAACGTCGCTTGCAGCGTTTTTGCAAGCCAATCTCGTAGATCCAGAACTATCCCCAGAAAGATCCATATTCATGGAGAACAATGTAGCTGATTGGCCAGGATGTAATGGGAAAACACTGCAGAAGAGAACCTCCAACTTTCCATTGTCCCCAGGCTTATCGAGCTTCTGATCGGTGAGAAGTGTGAATCGTTTGCCGCCAGGCGTTCCTTGGGGAGGAATTGGAAGCAAATGTGCCTTCGGTTTTCGAGACTCTCCAAACTTTCGAAGGGTTAGTCTTTCTCCTTGAGAGATGATTGCATGTGAATCATCTTCCAGAGTAAGCAATGTCGTGGGCTCCTTGTGCGAAAGAGTCTTTTCTGCAAAGCTCTCCATTCCTGTCAAATACCATTTCTTGAAAATTCGCATCCTATCCGCTCGAGGCTTCGTTTGTGCAGGGCGATTGACATCGATAACTTCGTACAAGGATCTAACGACAACTTTCCGGAATTGATCGCACCACAAAATCGCTTGATGGTCCATACCGGTCCACACGTTTGGCACGGATGAAGTGAAAACAGTAAATCCATGTGTGTCTGGCACCAGGGATTCCAGACTGGCATAATCCGACGGAACTACAGTATCGAGTCCACCTCCAGCTATCGACAACAAAGTGACGTGCCATAAAGGATTGTTGTTTGCCCATTTCTGCGAATAGGCTTGACGCCAGTAGTCATTGATCTGTTTGTAAGTTTTGACAATCTCGGCATCGAAGGAGACTGGAGGTCGAGCGTGCGGAGCTGACATGGTGATAATCGTATTGATCGAATTCGACTGATAGTTCGGCATAATCAACATCGTGCGTGCTACAATCCCACCCATCGAATGCCCCAATATTATAACAGAAGTTGGATCTGGAAGCTCCGGGTCTCGCTGTGATCTTCGAGGATCGTGGTACAAAGATAATATATACGCAATCGCTTCATTCAAATATTCTGCCTGGTCTAACATTGTTTGCCCGTGGAAGGCTGTTATATCCTCATTGAAATCGACAGTAAAAAAGTCCAGGTTCCGAGCTCCAGCATCGATCGCTGCAGAATCGTGTTGTAATACATCGTGAAAGTATGTTGCAGCCTCCGCGGCAATTGGTCGAACTTGCTTATAACTCCCAGCATTTCCAGGTATGAATAAGACGGGAACACCTTTGACCTAGACAGTATTCGTAAGTTTGGCACTTCACTTTCCACACAATCCCATACCTTGGTATCCTCGTCCACCATTCCTTCCCTATATAGATAGACCGAATATTTGCTCGCAAAACGGGTGTGTTCCGTATCGAAATCGGATAGCTTCGCAAAAGAAGGCCTCATATATGACATTCGACATCCTTTGTTATCCAATTGTCGCGTAGTAAATGAATGTATTATAGAGGCCAAAGCAAGTAAGGCCACAATTGTGGTTCCGAAGGTCAAGAATGTAAAAGACCAAGGGCTTCGTAGCCTCGACCTTCGAGAGGTTTGTTGAGAGTCGGCCATCTTGTCTGCCTCGATAGCCCCTTTCGAGGGAACACTGATTACAGTAGATTCGATAAGTCGACTTTTATCTATATGTCCATTGCGCGATTCCGTTGGTTTCCAATTTGTATTGCTAGGGCGCCGACTTCTGGCAATCGGATGTCTCTTATCGCAACTTTTCCGTCGATCCAATTCGGATTGTGTATGTTGAGGACTGGTTTGTTGTAAAGTTGTTTGAAAATTCGGGGAATCCCTATCGAATATCGAGACTTCGCTTCTGGAGCGACCTGTGAACCCTGGTCCTTCAACTATGTCCGTATTCGCAGATGAGTCGTCGCCTTCTTCCTCTGCGGCCGACCCAGATGATCTCCTCCGCATCTAAGCAGACTTGCGACACGAATCTCCAAATTTTCAAAGGAGACTGACGTGGGAAATCGCTTTCGGTGGGGGGGAGGAGGGGTTTTTTGAGAAGATTTGGGAATACGGTAATTGGCAAAGAGGCTGGAAACAAGAGAATTGGCGATTTCTTGAATGATAGAAAAGCCACAGGCGAGCTAGGAAGCCTTGATTAGGATATATAGGATTAGAATAGGATAGGCGAGTTATTAATACGTTTTCATATTCTTTAGCCAATACTGAAGCCTGTTAAATAACAATATTAACGTTTTTATTTCTTAACCCTGCTATGAATAAGAAAAGGTCATTAAAATCTTCTACTTCTGATCTTGATGTAGCATTGATTGATTACTATCGCGGTTAGTAGTTATCTGTCTATTGAATCTAGAATCTATATACGAATACACAGGTTCATAGTCAACATGTGACGTTTACAGAATTACAACTTCGGAAGCTTGAAATTTCAATCTTCCCTTATCTACTCGAGGATTATTCAAACATCCAGTCATTGAGAAAATGGCTACGTTTCAAAAGGATTGATCGCTCAATCGCTCATCTGGAAAAGACCGGATGTTCAAACAAAGCATTCATCATCAGCACATACCGGTTCCTACACCACTGCCACACAGGAGGTTATCGTTGGGCTTTTCTACACCGTGATTGGTAAGAAGGAGATGATCTACATATTGTACTGGAGTACTTGTTGACGGTGTTCTAAAGCCTCTTGGCAGTTGGGTTATTTTTGGATCGATATCTTAATAAGATGATCGTAATATACGGTTCAATTTTCGTCAAGATGTTTGAGATTGAGTGAAAGAAGCTGTTGTGCTTTGGAAGATACGAGATAGGGTAATATTCGTACATCCATTGCATATTTCGTATTTCTGATATCGCAACATCATAAACCTTTCATTGGTGTGGTCGAGTGAAGTAAATAAACATGGCATGCAGTGGTATATGCCGGCATCAAAACAGAGTCCGAATGCCCAACAATATTCCAGATATGGAAACATTGGTTACTTCTGTACTCTCTGGAATCAGAATCTTATGCTGCTTTGATAGAAAAGAAAAGTACTGTACCGGTACTGCATTCTTGATGCAGGGGCTATTAACTCTCATTCAACTGTTGGCAGCCAGGAACATCAATCAATCTTTGGTGTTATCACTCTTCGATTCCTTGATCCCGCCGGAAATCTATCATAGTGATTCAGCGAACAGCATCAAATTGTTAATCCACGCGGCCAATCACCCTTGGGGCACATTTCGGACTACCGTTCCAGTTTGATTGGAGCACCGAAATGAAGTTAAAAAGGACTTAGGAAGGCAGATCTAGATATAATGAGTGTATAACAACCACTCAAAAATTACGTCAAAAATCGTTTGTCTGGGGCTCCATCAAAATGTCGTTGGCTGGGGTGAAGTTTAATATCGGATAATTCTTGGTTATTGTATTGGGGAAAAGCCGGAGACGGGGTCAAGCAAGAGAAGACGTGGATATAAAATTACTTCATCTCGGATTGTAACCTTAACATATACTTTGAGTAACCAAGTTCATTGAAATACTATATCGAATTCCTCTATGAAAATTGAAGGAGTACCGGTAGTACTAGGCAGAGGAGACGGGAAACGAGCCATGAAGGGGGATGGATAGTTACCAACAAAATAAATGATCTGATTTTCTAAACGATAATCTAGCTCGAGAACCAACATCAACATATGCGTTTGCTAAAGAAGATGGAACACAACCTGTAAGTTTAAACTTTACACAGATAGAGCATTAATCATTAATTTCTGCAAAAGCAGCTCCACATAAAGTGAAGTCTAAAAATCCTATAAGAGTTAAAAATGTATCCACTACTAATCCTTAACCTTCCTTACAACTTCGGATTCCGTCCGCACCTCAGTTCAGTCTCCAGATGCCGCTGGCGTCAGTTAATTTGGTCGAATACCGGTAGTCCCGACATCTTCATCAATTAGACAAGATGCATCCTATCTGCAGATAACGCTTCAATCAAATAAACTTGCTTGCTTGCATTGCAGCATTAGAATATAATTACATCACAGACTCACACAACTTCCCCTCCTTCAACAAAGACATCATTTGTTTATACAATGATGAGATATATACGTATTGTTCAAGCCTTGAACACCTACTATATCTGATTATGTTCAACCAATCATGAATTACACATAGATGCCTTATAATCATAGTACTAGAGTATATATCTAATCTGTCTCCGTAAATTTATTACTTTTGATCTTGGTTTTTGGTCTTGGTCTTGGTTTTGGCTTGCCACTGGCATACTTGCATACATCCATCATATTTCGAGTAAAGTATACACGAACATACGAACAGCTACATATAATAGATGACGTCCATCAATCAGCCTTCGGGTTGGAAATTATCTCTTATCAGCGAAATACTAGTACAATAACGTTGCCAAGTGGAGCAAAGGTTCTAATTGCTGTCACGGCCTCCTCGAATGACAACCCTATATGCATATATGTATGCGCAAAACAAGCTCTTATACTGTTATTGTGATCTAATAGTTAATGTATCATATCACATTATATCATTATGAGAAAATCAAGGTAATTGAGATATTCTTTGATGAAAGATGAGAATATAGGAATATGAGATAGAGCCTCAGAGATCGGTATGGGATATTGGTCACGGTGGCTATTAGTCACTAGAATCTATATACTCGAGTATAAGAATTGAATATATATAAGAGAGATTTTAGATATTTCTTCTCGTATCATTTATTATATATTATATAAAGTATTAACCTAACCTATAATATACATACTTCAACATTCAAGTTATTGAAAGTTCACAGGGGACAAGCATACACAATGCTCACCGGGAGCTAGCAGCCTGTCATTGTGAGAAAAGCTCGCATCATCTTGGCATTCGCAACGCAAGTGAGGTTTGCGGTTTTGAAAAAGGTTTGATTTCATGAAGGTGGTAGACATATAGTTGTTTTCTTTAAAAGTCTGATTTGAGGATGTACTATAGGTCTTCGGAGATCTTTGCCTATCTTCACGTTGTTCTTGCTTCCTCGAGTCTTTCACATAGTGATCTGATAATATTAATGACGAGCTTTGACTTTGGCCCCTCGGTGCCGGAAAAACAATTCGCCTCGCTACACTCTGCGAATCGTTTTTCAGGGCACCTCAATTCCTACATCACAGTTTGTCCTCCGAAGGTCTATTATAACTTGAGAGTTATATAGATTGAATAGTTTTCTTGAATATCATCTCTTTAGATTTGGTTTTATTGATTGTTTTAAAAAGTATACTAATATTGAAAGTTTTCACATGATTTTTCAGAAAAATGTTCATCGTTGTGCACTGACCACCCACATTCTAAGAGTGTTTTATAATATGAAAGGTTAGATTCTTCTCTCTTCTCTCTCTTGTAATTATCCGAATCCTCATCTTACACTGCTACTCCTACCTACTCCTACTCTTACTCCCTAATAACCCACATCTCCACCCCAAGTACCTGCGATAATGTCATTCGGTACCTCCATATACATCTCCACTTCAAGATCCAACCATCCTTCCATCTATCTCTTCACTCTTTCCTACCGAGTACATCTATCTTTTCCATTACATGTACATACCGTATCTTCTCGCACCCAAGAAACAGCATTTTGGGATATGATATGGAACGATACCCGGCTGCTGTCGGGTCACCTAACTCTATAGCATCTTTTATACGTTATTCTTCCTTTGATATATAACCCGAGAAATGGACAAATTAAAACAGTAGGGGTTGAGTCTATACTTGAATGAGATATGGAAGTTGTGTTTGTAAATTGTAGGATTAGATGCTTGCTTTATATAATATAATATAATATAATATAATGTAATGTATATTGCGTATCTGCTATAGCGTTGAAAACTCGCTGTTGCTATTGGGAATCATATCGATATTAGGAAGGCTATATAACCTTATATATAAGATACTTGGACAAGAACAGTACTATACCATGAGATTACAGATCCAATTTGAGACTATGAGATGTAAGAGGATAGATACAGGAGTCCAGAGGATGAGAATATAAGACTTACCATATTGTATACATCCAGCATTCAATGGAACTTTAAAAACAACCAAATATAGTTTAGGGCTAAAGCATTACTCGAGCATTCGAGTAGGGTATATAAGAAAGCCAACGAATACATACTTAAGAACCTCAATCTTTTCAAGAAGTATCTTTGAGAGTAAAGGGAAGTGCTTTTTTGGCTTTATCAGGTTCGGTTCAGCTTGATTTGATTTGATTTGATTTGATTTGATTTGATTTGATTTGATTTGATTTGATTAGGGAGCACTGATTATAATGGTAGAATTGGGATCTGTCTGATAATCAGGTGGGATGAATGATCAGAAGTGTATAATGACAATGATTGAAATGTGTATAGTGTATAGTGTATAGTGTATAGTGACAGCCTGAGAATATCTAGCCATAGCAGCGAAAATAATTCGAGTGAAATAAAATATTGTGATGATGGTTTTTTTCTATAGACTGTATATCTTGTATTCCAAACCAACCACATGCCAAAATACTCGTATATAAATACATTATTAATAATTCACATCAATAACTTTTTCTAACCTCCAGGCTCCAGCTCCTAGACGGAAATTAAAAACAGATTGAGAAGATTATAGACGTGGAGTTCTGAATGGAAAATAGCTTTTATAATACCAATATAAACATTTTTACTACTGCTGTACAGTGTAGATACTTTGAAAAAGAAAGAAACATCTATAGCACACGCTAAGTAGACCGCCTGATCGAAATATTAAGCTGAGAGGTATTTTAGGAAGAATATTTCTTACTTGGAAGCATATCAATATACGTATATGAAAGCCTAGACGACATCTCATTGTGTCGTTGAGGATCTCGGACGGAACTGGTGGCGCATATGGTAGAAGAATAAGATATGATGGGTCAACTTTGGCGAGAGGGTGATTGTGGGTAGCTTCGTTTCGCACTTTGTGGTATGTAGTGAAGTTGTGATGACAACAATGTGATATTATGGATTTGAAACAACGAGCAAGAGAAACATCTCGCTGACGGTAAAATTGATAACGTGGAGTAGCCCTGCCAATTGTAGAGTCAATTTATTCTCCTTGCATGCATGTTTGGTTTGATCGCATACCGATAATTTCCTCTTGAGTTGATTTGTTTACGGTAGAAGTGTATCATGAGAAACGCAATTATCCAACCTTGAGAAGTGGTTATATACCAATCTGAAAATCTCAACCGTCAAGATTGAATCATCTATTCGTAGAAAATTGCCTTCTCGCCAATCAAACCTAGGACCTCAAGCTCAATCTACCCCTCCTCCCAAAACAAGAACATACAATGACATCACATCACATCACATACCGAGCTCCTCCCATAAGTATTTAAACTCTTGGACCTCCAGCACTAATTCGACATTTTCAACGGCGCAGCTGACTCGACCGCGACCTTAGCACTGTTGAGTTGATATATGTAATGTAAAAATGTATGGAAATCCAAAGTTTCTGGGAGCCCGCATTTTTGCATGCTTGGTGCCTTGTCTTTGGGAATTTTGGGGTGATCTTTTTGATAGAGCAAGCTGGTGGAGAAGAAATGAATGCGTGGGTTTTGGGAAGTGAAGCTGAGGTGAAATGAGGTGAGGTGAGAGGTATGGTTATTTGTTATTTTGTGTGTGAAAGATCGGGACGGGAGTGAATATCACTGGAGGCAGGGAGGTCTGTCGGAGATTTCTTCACAGGCTTACTGAGCTTATGTATATAGACGGGAATATGGGGATAGATTTGTCTTTCACTCGAAACCTTTTGCGGATCAAATTGCTTCGCTAGTTTTGTTGTCGAGAACTACACCCATTGGCGATCATCACAGGAACTGTGGAAATCGAATGTGTTGATTGATAGAGAAAAATATATTGACTTCTCGACAGTGATATAGTTTCATCACGCACCTTTCAGAATAATTTCTTCTAATATCGGTGCTCTGATAACTAATATGATGGTGTATAGGGGAAAGAAGCACAAGGGCCTGGCCATGCATTTGTGACTGGAATATTTTTCCAACCAGCTGTGGAGAGAAGAACGTACGAGAGCTTTCTCTTATATATCAGTTATACAAAAGACTTGCTGAGATTTTTCAGCTGATCGTGAGTGTTGAATCCACATATAACCAATTTAGACTAAAACGCTGGGTACGAGAAAACAGTTACTTGATGGAACTGAGTGGTGTACGATCACTTGACCAACCACTAGGATATTGAGTACCATATATATTTTCTCTTTAGACGAGCTTTGATGGGCCTTTGATCTCTGACCTAAAACATCGAGTAATAGCACTCGTGTATCACCACTTTTTGTGATTTGAATATCATCAATGAAACCTATTTTTGAGGGGGGCTCTCGGTGAGCTCTCATTCCCGGTGAGCCCCCTTGAGAAACACTATTGGTGACTCTTATCGATTTGAGGTGCTCATCATGTTTTATACAATAAGCTTGTTAACAGGAACAGGAAAGTCGAAGTGTATCATCTCATTCTTTTGATATATATCTACACTGAACAGATGAAGTGTCGTTGAAGTCTCGAAAAAAACCTAAAAATAGACAAGTGTCGAACGCCTTGGCGACCGATGATGTCGTGTCCTATCGGATAATTTTATCGAGAATCGTATTTCGAACATTGAGATATTCTGATTTTCTACCAAAGGGAAGAAGTTTCCATCTGATTTGTATCTACAGTAAACATATATTTGTCCATTTAAGGACGCGCCATTCTTTTAATTTCTGCGGATGATTTTGGCATAAACCCATCAAGGTGTTTAGACAATCTGTTCATCATTATAAAGTCTGAGCTGAGCTGTTTGTTCAAATTGAATGCGAACGCGTAGAGTACCAATTATTTAAAGGACCAACACATCAAAAATATGGCTAGAGTTAATCGGTTTGGCTTTTTAGCCATTGCGATGGCCTTCCATCTGGTTTATATCTACTCAATCTTTGATATTTATTTTGTGAGTCCTATCGTGTCTGGGATGCGCGAATTCGGTGTAGTGAGGCCAGATGGAGTAGAAGCTCCAGCAAAGCGTTTGGTGCTTGTCGTAGGTATGTCTGTTCCTTCTTATTTTATGCCGTTTTATGCGATTGCAATGGACTAATATTTTGTGTCCGCAGGTGATGGTCTACGAGCAGATAAAGCTTTCCAATCATTTCCAGAACCATACCCCGAATCACAAGAAGATCTCGTTCCGCGGCCTCTTGCGCCATTCCTTCGCTCGCGAGTTCTCGGCCATGGCACTTTTGGTGTCTCTCATACTCGAGTTCCTACGGAGTCCCGTCCAGGACATGTTGCGCTCATCGCGGGCTTGTACGAAGATGTCTCGGCAGTTACCACTGGGTGGAAACTCAATCCTGTGAATTTCGACAGTGTTTTCAATAGGAGTAGACATACTTGGTCATGGGGAAGTCCAGATATCTTGCCGATGTTTCAATTGGGTGCTATGCCAGGCCGTGTCGATGCATATACATATTCTGCCGAGGAAGAGGATTTTTCGAAAGCAGCCCTACATTTGGATATCTGGGTGTTTGACAGAGTAAAGGCCCTTTTTGCAGAGGCTGCTACGAATGCTACCCTAAATGCCGCATTGAGACAGGATAAGAATGTGTTTTTTCTACATCTCCTTGGCCTGGATACTACAGGCCACGGTTACAGGCCATACTCGAAAGAATATCTATATAACCTCAAAATTGTGGATGAAGGCATCAGGGAAATAACAAAGATTATTGAGGATTTTTATGACGATAATAAGACTGCTTTTGTCTTCACAGCCGATCATGGAATGAGCGATTGGGGTAGTCATGGTGATGGACACCCAGACAACACACGCACTCCTTTAATTGCTTGGGGATCCGGCGTCGCGAAGCCAATTGTACAGACCCATGGGGTTGCACCAGGCCATGATGAGTTATCCTCAGACTGGGGAATGGACCACATTAATCGACACGATGTTTCACAAGCAGATGTTGCAGCTCTCATGGCATATTTAGCTGGCCTTGACTTTCCAGTCAATTCAGTTGGAGAGTTACCCTTGTCATATCTGGCAGCGGATGTTCCCGAGAAAGCTGAAGCTTTTCTGGCCAACGCCAGAGGTATTCTTGACATGTATCGAATCAAAGAGGAGCACAAGAAAGCTACCGAGTTGAGATATCGACCATTTGAAGGTCTCGGAGACGAGAACCACACGGCCGAGCATCGATTAATTGATATCAGAAGTCTGATCGACCGAGGTCAACATGAAGAAGCAATGCGAGAGACTGCAGAACTTGTAAGACTTGGCTTAGCCGGTCTTCGATATCTTCAAACGTATGATTGGCTTTTTCTGAGAGCCCTGATTACAATGGGATACCTGGGGTGGATTACATTTGCCCTCACCACTGTTATTGATCTTCACGTTCTGCATGGAAATGCCAAGACTACCAGGACTTTGGCTGGCAGTCTTTTCTTCTCTTCCATCCTTGTTGCTCTTTTCGCTTCCTTTATTGTATCGGAATCACCTTTGACATATTATGCGTATGCGATCTTCCCGGTGGCATTTTGGGAGGAAGTGTATGCTCGTCGGAATGCTCTCGCAGAGGGTGGAAAAGCACTTTTTGGTCATATCAAGTCACCTCTCGCTTACGTAGGATTACTCCTTAAGACTGTAATTTTCTTAGGTCTCATCGAATCTCTTGTAAGTCATTCAATACATCCCACCATGCATTGCGACTTATATATCAATAGGCATGGGGCTACACCCATAGAGAGATCTTCTCCGTTTTGTTCATCGGTGCTACTTTCTGGCCGGTGTTTTACGGCTTGGGTTTTTTGAAGAAGAATAAGGCATTAATCCTAACGTGGATCGCGTCGTGTGTAGCAATGAGCAGTTTCACATTACTCCCAGCAATGAAAATTGAAGATATAGATCTGATGTAGGTTGTTGCTATCACAAATCGTCAGGGTTTTGGCTAACCGTGAGCATAGTCTATATGGTGGTGCCTTGATGGTTGCCGTAGGTGTGTTGTACCTTGCCTTTGAAAAAAATTTGCTGGCAAAATCCAAGATGGCAGGAGACTCCATCGCGCCAGCCGATAATCTTCTATCCCGCTCACTCATCGGAGCACAGGTGAGAAACCCCACTCATCACTATAAACTATGAATTCTGATACTTCAAATAGATTGGGCTGATTGTCCTATCCATGATTGTGACGAGATCTACTGCGATGTCCTTGCAAGCAAGAACTGGACTTCCTCGAGGCAACCAAATAGTTGGTTGGTGCTTAATAGGTAAGCTCACTAACACCTGGATAATTTGTCGAAGCTAACATGAATCAAGTGGCGTCCCTGGTAATGCCCTTTTTGCATCGTCTACAGCCCAACAACCATTATCTACACAGATTGATGATTATATTTCTGACATTTGCACCAATCTTCGTTATCCTCACGATCTCGTACGAAGGATTATTCTATTTGGCATTTTCTGCCACCCTTATCACTTGGGTTCTCCTCGAGCACGGCATCTATAGCTACACTAATAAAGCGTCAATAGTCAAGACGAATGGTGTCCCAGTACCAAAATTTCCTGCGTCGTTATCATCGTCTCCGTTCCGCTCTCTCACATTGACGGATGCACGGATATCTCTATTCTTCCTCATACTTTTGCAGTCTGCATTTTTCAGCACTGGAAATATGGCATCCGTTTCATCCTTCAGTCTGGACAGCGTGAATCGTCTTATTCCAGTCTTTGATCCTTTTTCTCAAGGAGCTTTGTTAATTGTGAAGCTCATGATTCCATTTGCGTTAATTTCAGCGAATTTGGGGATACTGAACAAGAGACTTGGCGTCGCGCCGTCAGCCTTATTTATGGTAGTAATTGCAATTAGCGATTTCCTGACGCTGCACTTCTTCTGGGTGGTCAAGGACGAAGGATCATGGTTAGAAATTGGATCTACCATTAGTCACTTTATCATTGCAAGCTTGCTTTGTCTATTTGTGGCTAGTTTGGAGGGTGTCAGTGAGCTTTTTATTGCGGGGGTAGAAGTTGAAGATAATTCGAGTCAGCTCGGCAAGGAACGGGAGCTTGGAGGAGTGGTGATCAGGGAAGAGGAAAAGAAGGTTAATGGGAAAATCAAGGCTTCTTCTACGAATGGGAGAAGTACTTAGAGAAGGGGGGGAGGGAGGGATGTATATATTGTGATAATGAGAATACTACAATCTACAATGACGAAAATCAGGCGTTACTATAATAGATGTGAAAAAGTCATGGATGGGAGAATGTGGTATATCTATCACATGGAATAATACAGGGTCTGACTAAAATGTACCGAGGCACCTAGCTCCTATCTCTCCAACCTACACATGTCATATCATGTCATATCATATCATGTCATACCATGTTATATCGGTGAATATACTAGGCAGGTAAGTAGCACGTTTTTGTGTCTGGGGTGCATATATATATGTATGTATGTATGTATGTATGTATGTACATGTGCGGAGTTGTGGGGCTGGTGAGGAGGGAATTTAAGGTGAGATGAGGTGAGGGGAGGTGAGGGGAAGTGAGGGAATTTAAGGTGAGGTGATGGGAAGTGGGGTGAGGGGAGGGGAGATGAGGTGAGGTAAGGACCGGGAGGTGGTATATATAGGAATTTGTAGGGATAGATGTAGGGATTTTTTTATTTTTATGTTGATTGGGATTGGGATTGGTATACATGGATGTAATGTGTCCTTTGTTGTTTTGTGATGTTTTGTGATGTTTTGTGATGAGTTATGATGTGAATGTGATGTGATTTTGGAGGTGGATTTTGGAGGTGGAATCAAGAAGTGGATTTGAGGATTTGAGTTGGTGTGAAATGTATGTAGGCTGCTGGATGGGTGGGCGGGTAGATAGGGAGGGTAGATTGGGGATACTGGGGATGATGGGGGTGATGGGGTGGGTTGGGTTGGGGTGGTTGCTAGGTGTGTTGTTGGGTGTGTTGGGGCTGGGTGATGGTTGGGAAGTAGAAGTGGAAGGGGAAGGGGATGGGGAAGGAGGAAGAAGGGAAGGAGGAAGGAGGGGAAGGGGAAGGGGAAGGAGAGGTAGAGGTGGAGGTAGAAAGTTATGTTTATTCTTGATATTAAATAAAAATAGAAGTAGAAATAGAAGTAGATGAAGTAGAAGAAGTAGAAGTGGAGGGCAATGTTTATCGTTGATACCAGATAGAATTAGAAGTAGGGTAGAAGTAGAAGAAGAAGTAGAAGAAGTAGAAGTAGAACTAGAAGAAGAAGAAGAAGGAATAGAACTAGAAGTAGAAGAAGAAGTAAAAGTCTTGATATAAATTAACCAGTAGTTGACAGACAGGGCATATACTAAGCATCTATAGACGATGAACTAATCCGTCCAAGTACTCGAGTATTTATACGGACAATAAGCTAGACTAATTCATATAGAACAAGTGGAATAAAGCATGTCGCGTGTTCCTCGACGTTTCTATCCAAGAACCTTAACAGGCTGAGTACCATATACCAACCTATGAGTATGTAGACATGTTTGGAAATGCGAAGGTGTATGAGGTTAATTACTATACAGTAGGAACTCCTGATATACTCGAGTAGTCAGCTATATATCAAAATCACATGTCTTGTTAAACAAAGGACAAAGAAATATATAGATGTTGGTAGATTCAAAATTACATAATCTTCTGTTGTTTAATTCCACGAATACAATTAAAGGTATTTCAGCGCAAACAGAACTAATTCTCCATACCGGTAACTTGCAGATCGCGGCCTGTACCTTAAAATTCCAACCCCACATGATCCATTACTTCTCGCAGGCGTATACCAAGTCCCGAAAACGTAAAAATAGCCCCTCCGTACCGAGAGAGAAGTCCAGATTTGTCAACTTCGCGACGACCTAACTTCCACAAACACCAATACTCAATACACAATTCAATCCGACGACAATACTAATACAGAGATTATCATACTTTCTGGAATCGCATGATAAGAGAGTTGATAAATTATGGCTGCCATGGCCTCGAATGAAATGCCCGCAGGTGGTCAACCTAGCCAGTACTCAGCACCGGCACCGCAAATGAGTAGTCAAGCTCCCGCTGGATCAAATGCAGCGCCTAGTTCGCAGCTTCCTGGACATGCTTCATTTAGAAGGTAGGCTGGAATGTATTGTCCGATATATAATTGCGCTGACATTTTTTGATGAAGACAACGAGCTTCACGAGCTTGCCAAGTATGTACATATCTCCCCATTTTCTTATCCATCAATTTGATGCCTCGGTCCGAGGAGCAGATTGTGATTGTGGAGGGCTCTGAAATTTAATAAAATATTTGCTAACAACCCATTCACAGACATGCCATGCCAGAAAGGTAATGTTACGCAAGCTTATTGCGCGATCGCATTATCGTGCAGCCTCTAGAATATATATTAATGGGTCGATAGGTACGATGTGATGCTGCTAGCTTAGGGGTGCCTTGCACAAACTGCGTCGCATTCTCGATAGAATGCAAAATTCCAACACCGAAGCGCAAGAAAACAAATGGCAAGGGCAAAGATTCTGATAGGTACAATCTACCTCGGGCCTCTTTAGGGCTTGCAGCTGACGAGGGTAGCGACCGAGGAGAAACAGTCGATGAACGGTCACCTCAGAATGATTCCCCGAGCACCCAGACCGCGAGGAGCACAACCGCCTTTAACTCTTCAGATGGGACACCTTCGACTTCCCTTACTGAAGCTCAGGTCCGCCAACGGGAGAATGACGAGAATACCTACGCTCAATTTATGAAGCCTAAATTCACCAGAGCGCCCATCAAGGAGGCAGGACGAGTGGCATATCTAGGAGAATCCTCAAATTTGACATTACTCGTACACGATCGGCATGGCAATGCGGATGTCGTGCATTACCCTTTACCGGAGAATATCAGAGGATCTAGAGCGAGATTGACGGAACTGGATAATGTGGAAATCGATATCCTACATCAACGGGGAGCATTTTTACTCCCCCCTCGGTCTCTTTGTGATGAACTGGTTGATGCGTATTTCAAATGGGTTGCTCCAATTGTGCCAGTAATCAACCGAAACAGATTTATGAGACAATATCGCGATGCGAAAAATCCACCTTCACTCCTGTTACTGCAAGCTATTCTCCTGGCTGGATCCAGGGTCTGTACAAATCCCCAATTGATGGATGCCAATGGATCAACAACTCCCGCTGCCCTGACATTTTACAAACGTGCTAAAGCCCTCTACGACGCAAACTATGAAGATGACAGAGTTACAATTGTACAAGCTTTGGTTTTGATGGGATGGTACTGGGAGGGACCAGAAGATGTGACGAAGAACGTGTTTTACTGGAGCAGGGTTGCTACCATTGTAGCACAAGGCTCCGGCATGCATAGAAGTGTTGAAGGTTCCGCACTTAGCAAAGCCGACAAGAGACTTTGGAAGAGGATTTGGTGGACATTGTTTACCCGTGACCGATCTGTTGCCGTTGCTCTTGGCCGTCCTGTGCATATCAATACGGATGATTCTGATGTGGAGATGGTTAGTGAGGATGATTTCGTTGAGGATGAGAACGATCAACCCGCCGAATTCCCTCAAGAACCTATGCATATACAATTTTTCCTACAATACGTTAAACTTTGCGAAATCATGGGATTGGTTCTTTCACAGCAATACAGTGTAGCTTCAAAAGCTCGACGGCAAAACGCGATCGATCTTACCCATAGTGACATGGCACTGGCAGATTGGCTTCAGAACTGTCCTAAAGAGGTATATTGGGAAATGCCTCGACATCATTTCTGGTCAGCTCTGCTACATTCAAATTACTACACAACACTCTGTTTGTTACACAGAGCACATATGCCACCCGCGACTACACAGAGAGGTGGTTATGAGGATAATGTGTATCCATCTCGGAATATTGCCTTCCAAGCAGCAGCCATGATTACCTCTATCATCGAGAACCTATCAGCACATGATGAGCTACGATACTGTCCAGCATTCATCGTTTATAGTTTATTCTCTGCCTTGATCATGCATGTCTATCAAATGCGATCTTCGATACCTTCCATCGTTGCAGCTACTCAAGAGCGAATGCGTGTTTGTATGAATGGTCTAAAAGATGTATCGAGAGTTTGGCTCGTCGCGAAGATGGTATATACACTTTTTGAATCCATTTTGGGAAACAAGGTTCTTGAGGAGCGTCTTCAAAAGGCTGCTGGAAAGCGACATAAACGGATGGTGCAGAGCATTAGTGAGGGTCTCAATCAAGCCAAAAATGAGCCCCAAAAGAGAAAATATGATGATATGATGCTGGACTTCGGTGTGAGCAGTGGACCGGCGCCACAGGAATCGTATGAACGGTCCAGACCACAGACACCCAGTCAAGGTTACAACTCATCCTCAATGCCTGCACCGCCTATCACTTCGCCACAGCACAGACAGAATCGAGACACATTCATGGGAGGTTCTAACTCTCGCCCTCACACACGTCCCCCCACGCCTTTCAACCCCTCATATTCCGTCCCAGCCACCCCTCCGGATCTCTATCTTGTTACTAGAAACTCCCCAAACATATCGCAATCTCTCTGGGAGAACTTTCAGCCAGATCAACTGTTCCCTGAAGGCGGTCCTAGTTTGAATAACATTCAGTTTTCTCCACCAAATCATCCCAATCTTGACCCAAATCTCATGCCGCACCTAGGTGGGCCTCAACATCCAATCCATAATCAGAATCAATCAAATCAGTTGCCTCAACGCATGCAACGAGGCCAACCCGGAATGAGTGGTAGCCCCATTCAAGGAGTTGGAATGCTTCCAACAGGAGTTCCTAATTATGGCATGGGCCAAGGTATCTGGCAGCAAGGCTATGAACAGCCAATGCATGAAGCTCAAGGTCAAAGTCCTAGTGATACTTGGAGTAACAGTTCTGCACAAGCTGTTCCTACAACTTTGAACGTTGAAGATTGGTAAGTCGACTAAACCGTGTGAATTCCGGTTAGCATACTAATATGGTATTTAGGTTTCAATTTTTTGGGATCAATGGGGATTTAACTGGTATGAATGGCGATGTACCACTCGCTTGATCTTTCTGGAAAGGAAACCAGTCATTTACTGCTTTTGAGCGAAGACTATCTTGAGGCAATCCTTGATTGATTATTTAGCCAAGTATTCAAAAGAAAAAAGGCCATGGAGCGTGTAGGTGTAGCTCTATGCGCTGTATTATCAGCTTTTTGGATCCGGGTAATGGACGGGGAATGAAACATATCATAGTGAATGTCTCTCTCTTATCTTGGGAGCACCTCATTTGATACCTGTAGGCTGTAGCTCACACATATAAAATAACACAGCTACCCAATCATCAAAATTTAACAAATTATGAAGCAATTTCTAGAGACACTTTATAGTGTATAAGTGGGTATCTTTGTATTAAATTGCGGATTCCCCACGTGCCTGATACATACACTATAATTGCTACTACGGATAGCCCAAACTTACTATAATCTGGAACGTCCGTTCCCCGCGACCAAGGTGTTCAAGGAAGCCAAGTATGCATTCATTTCTGACGCGAGTAATTCCACTATAATTCGATACATTGTAATCGAATGATCGTAACAAACAATTTACACAAACAACGAATGCTCTCATGAACGCAAGTGTCCAGTGCGGACGGCCCGCGAAACAACCATGTCACAATCGTCTCGAACAGCCGCGATAACCTCGAAGCAATCGCGAATATACAGTGACGATGAAACACGGTTCAGCGATTCCAGTGCGGCAATCTCCTCTACTATGCGACCGAGAAATAAAAGATTGATCAGTACGGAACAGGAATTGGTTAGCACGACCAGTCGAAGAAGTAGTCCTGGTGGAAGTAGTAGGGGTGTAAGCCCAATCCCTTCAAGACATCCTTCGAGGAGGGGAGGGGATAATGGCGATCAATCTGCTGGTAGTATTTTAGGAGGGTCTGCGGTAGGGAGAGGGGACCAAAAAACAGGACCTGGGAATGCTGGAACGTGGGGAAGTGGGTGGTCAAATTCTTGGAGTACATTACAAGGGCTTGCGAGTTCGGTGCTGGGGGATCTGGAGGATTTAGTGACTGATGAAGGCGAAGGCAGTTCGAGGCAAACAGCAAGTTTGGATAGACCTAAAGCGAGGAGAAAGGATAACTCTGTGAAAAAGTTGTTTGAGCTACCTCATGGTGCCTGGGGACCTGCGGAACAAAAGAAGAGGGATGAGGCTGTTATTGGCGCGGGGAGTCAATCGGAAAGAGATGCAGCTGTACGAACGCAGAAAATGACAAGACTTCTCGAAAACCACTCGGATTTAAATGGGTCAATTGATACAAACGGGAATTACAAACGGAGAACATCTATGGACGAAATTACGACTGGAACACAAAAGGAAGAGAGCGATGCACTGGTCTACATACACCATGTGAAGAAAGAGGATACACTTGCGGGGGTTATATTACGGTATAATTGTCAGCCTATGGTATTCAGAAAGGCCAATAGGTTCTGGCCACACGACTCTATACAAACTCGACAAGTGGTTGTACTACCAGTCGACGCTTGCGCAATCAAAGGACGCCCTTGTGATCCATCTCAGGATCTGAGCCAAGGGATTGATCTGCTCGCTCCAACGCCTAGTTTAGAAGATGCGCCGGAAGTATGGCCACCGAGATCGGAGACGCCGATGGAGCGCCCAGATGAAAATCCGTGGGAGCATGTACGCTGGGTTCTTTTAGATTCCTCCCCGAATTCTAAACCGGTGGAAATTGCACGTATACCAAGGAGAAGTTTGGGTTACTTTCCGCCACGGCGAAGAAAGAGTCAGAATACAAATTCTATCACATCTACCCCTCGTGGTTCTTATGATCTTCCACGCACGTCTCAAACGATATCGGTATCATCTGGCGAACCAGCCGGCAGTCCTTCTAGCACAGCTTCTCGGATGACAAGCAATCTAGGATCACGACTCTCTCAATCTACCAGTGGAAGCTACTTCCCGCCAAGTGTTGCGGCTAATCGTCCCCGCCATGAAAGCGTGAGTGAAGCTGCGGATCGACTAGGGTGGCTTCGAGGACCTGGTGGGGTAGGAACATTGGGGAAGAGTGTCACCACTCCAGGACCAGGACAGGATCCTCTAAATACATGGGCGAGGAAACACATACCCGGGATCACAATCGATACCCTACCTTCATCTTCAATCCTAGAATCCGAAGCAGTACCTTTTGGATTTCGAGATGAACTTACGAGTATTGCTGAAGGTTCGTACAGTCCCGCGAGAAGTGGATCAGTCACACCTAGTAATTTGGGGGGCTCTGGAATTGGTCTTGAGAATGCAGCAGCGGCTATTGAAGGTTGGGTTAGAAGATTAGCTGTTAAAACACCCGGGGCGCCATTACATGGAGGTGGTACGTCAACGGACGGATCGGGGGATCTTATTGAATTGTTAGATGGGGCTGGTAGTGATGATGGGAAAGGCTTTGAACTTTCTCCAGGTAAATTGAGGAATAGTTCACTCAGAAGAACTGGAACAGGAAGTTCGGGAAGAGAAGATTTGGAGGGCGCGGTGAGGGGGAGATTGAAGGGGGGTGGGGGTGTTAAGAGGGGCAAGAAAGAATAGAGGGGGAAATTGATTTATTGAACTGTGTTTCGGCTGCGGCCACTATTGGTAGCGAGCAAGAATAAAGGGTGCATGAATTACAAGCACTATATAGAAGTGAGGGCGTATAGGGGATTGGCGTTTTCTTAGTTGATCATTGGTCGTTGGTCTGTTGGCTGTTTAGGGTAGGGTAGGGTAGGGTAGGAGAACAGAACGAGAAGAGAAGAGAAGACTTGTCTGCAGTATTTATCTATTTTCCAATTTCGGGCGTCGCGAGAGCAGTTGATGTGATTTGTAGTTTGTGGTTTGTGATTTGTGCGAAGAGTTATGTTATAGTATGGGTTGCTGGTGAGCAATATAGATGTTGATGTTGATGTTGATTTACTTGTGATTTACTTGTGATTGTGGTGGAGTGGTGGAGTGGTGGAGAGTGGCGCGTACAATATTATACTGGGATTTCTTTAGTCTGTATTCTATGGTTTATGATTTATACATTGAGGGGAGGGGAGGAGGCCGGTTGGTTGGTTGGTTAGTTGGTTGGTTGTGGTGTGGTCTGGTCATCTGGGAAAGGATTTTATTTTTTTGTTTTTATGGATGTTGTTATTGTTATTGGTATACTCAGTACGGGTAGTGTAGTACAGTTTACTTTACTGGCTGTATCACTTGTATTGGAAGTATTTGGGGAGATAGGAGATGGAAGACGGGGGACGGGGGACGGGGAATGGGATGGAGTGAAGTGAAGTGGAGTGGGATAGATAGATGGGTTAGTTAGTTAATTAGGTAGTCAATGGTTTAATACGAGTATATGAAAGAGGATTCTTATGGAGGGAAGGGAAGGAGGGAAGCTATGATATGATATGATATGATATGAGTACTATTAGTTTGGTGTTTGGTGTTTAGTTGAGTTTTTAGTTAAGTGTTTAGTTGATATAAGTGTTGGTCTGACTCACGCTTATATTTGTTCTGTTCTACTCGAGTATTCTTCAGATCAAGTCCATCTGAGATTTTTTGAAGAGCTTTTTGGGGAGCTTTTGAGGGAGGGGGGGTTATGTGATGCTCTTTTCTTACTTCTATATATGAATTAGATAGCTAGATTGGTTTTGTCAATAGTTTGATATTTAACTGAATATAGGCTGTTTTAATTTGTGAAGGGACCCATCTATCTATGTGCTTTGTCTAGCTAGACTATTCATTCATGTCTCCAAACTAGATATCTAGATGCTTTTTGACTGGGTGCTTGCTAGTTGCTACTTACTACGCCTTTTGGCTTGGAAAATCAACTTCCTCTAACTTCTCTAGAAGTGTCGGAAAAGTCATCGGCAGTACCAGTATCTCTTCGTCGTACTTAAATGTGGAATTTTTGAAGGGATTGTAGGACGGGTAGTTTGTTGGCAGCTCTGTTGAGATCTACTGTGGGAGGTGAGGTATGTTTGTTTGATATCAAAAAGTAAGTAAAAGTTCGCAAATTCTTGATGGAAATAGATGGAGTACGTAGCAGTGTTTTTGTCCTCCAGATCTTATTCTAGGCTGATATTTAGCTGAATGTTTTCGGTTTATAGTACTCGTATATACTTTCTGTCATCTTACATTATCTCACTATCATCTCATATCCATTACCATTTCAAAAATTTGAGATGATACGTGTTAAGAAACGAGAGGATAAGGTTATGGAGTCCTTGAGTATGAGTACTAGAGTTATTCGAACAGCTGCTTTGGGCGTAGTATCATAGCCAATCCCTATACCTTTGAGCAAAGCAATAGTCTTTAATTGAGTATGGATTGATATTCCGCTTATTAGGAATCTTTATATAATTACTCGAGTAGAACCGTTTCTGCTTTCGAGTGAGTAGGTGCGAAGTGAAGGTTACCTTCTTTTAATTTTCTCTGCCGGGTCATTCACATATCACGATCTGACTTGAAATCTTCAATCGACTTTATTATGCCAGATTCAGTCTGAATTGGAGTCTTTAGTTGACTTTCTAATGTTAGATCTAATATATCTTCAATCATCACCCCCCATTTATTCTCTGCGTAATAGACACAGATTTGAACAGCATGCACAGAAAATAATACCTCATCCACAGCTCACCAATTTTCCTTCTTCACTGAAAAAACATCAGAAGATAACCCATTAGGCTTTCCGACAATTTTGGTTGCAGATCTAGTAAAGGCCTAATCGATTATAAGTGGTCCGGGGCTGATATAAATGCTATATATATTCGCTAGTGGGTAGCTATACCGCTTGGAGTAGGTAGATGGTGTGGTAAGTAGAGAGTTCTGTAGATGTGCCATTATATTTATAGTGGATCTAGAGGGTTATTGTCTCAAAGATTTTGGGTTGGGAGTTAGCGAGGAGAGGTGAATAGATGGATGAATTAGAGAGCAATGATCAGAGGTTTAGATAATGGTGATTGTGTTATCGCTATATTGGATTATATCTACATGGATGGATTATGTATAAGTACAGCGTGACAACTATTTCATACACCGCCACCTTCTCGATGTTGATCAATGCCAGCTTATCATTACACCTCACTCACTAGAGATGGTGTTTCTTCCAATCTCCTCTTCTTTCTCTCTCTCATCTTATTTAACGTTCGTCTTTGACGAAAGAAGTTTCTGAAGCAATGGAGAATGAACATCTCGCTGTACCGCAACAACTGCAGCATGGGCGGCAGAACTGGAGGAGCCTATAAGCTGAATTGCACATTTTAAGGAGAGGTCAAGTAGCTGGTTATTCTGGTTCTTGAGGTACTGTGGTACTTGTATTATGGGATTAGTGTTTTAGGAGTTTAGAAATTGTGATTATAAAGACAGCAGTATTCATGTATTAGACAGCAATAATCTAAAGTGATGGCGAGAAACTATGCTTGACAGGGATTTGATATTGGGGAGAGAGGAGAGTATACTATTTCTTGTAATTGGGAAAGATAGGTCACGTAACGCTAAGTATCATCACAATAGCCGCACTTAAACGTGACTATTGGGAAAGTAGCACAGGGCTTGACCAGTCATCCTGCTACTCTCTTCCGTCTTACATTAGCAATGTTGCTATTCGACCAGGGCTCTTATATATCCATCGAAAGGGGCGTTTATTTTCGTTTGATACTTGTTTTATTCAATATAAGGTGAATAGGAGAATATCTCCACCGCGGTATAATTGGCAGCTAGTAGCTACAGATCACTAATTGAATAAACTTATATTTTTATTTATATACTTCTGTATACTTCCCTTATCATGATATCCTGAGCCTTTCTAGTTCTCTGCTTACATATAACATTTGTAAGCATTTATATTTTCACTTTCACTATATCTAAAGCTAAATTGCTATCGATAAATTTCTTTTGGTATATTATCTTCGGTATCCTTCTATCAGTTTGTTTTGAGTATAGATATTGAGCGGATTATCCAGTGTCGATATTATAAGTCTAATCTATTCTATCTCATCTCTATCAATAGCAACTATGAGTTTTCTATAGGATTCTACTTTATATCTTATATAAGAAAGATTTCATCTATTGAGAAATACAAGCTTAAAATATAACTTATATAGAGACAGCGATAGATATACTAATACTAGCGTTGTATTATTCTTGGGGTATGCCTTATAAGATGAATAATACTCACTCTCGGGATTTTCTCAAATATCGGTTTTCGAGAGAAGTTCTCCTTTCTCAGGCAAGGTCAGTTAGATTCACTAACTACATTCACATTTACTTTCGTCTAGCTTAAACTTATCGTATCGGTACCTTATTGGCTCAAAGCTTATGTTGCACATCTATAAACACTTCTAGCATCTGTAATTTTACTCTAAGTAATATAGATTCACTCGGCTTCGTTCACTTACTTGGTTCGGTTATATTTTTATATTGTATATCTAGATCTATCCGATCTTGAGCTACTCCGTATTACACCTGCACCCTTGACATCCGCGAGTATTCGTCCGATGGAATAAGAGAACTACTGTAGATACATAATATCAAATCTTTCAGCAAGAAAAAGACGAAAAGCAAGGAGAGCGACAATATTAGAGCTAGAATTCCAAGGACTTTTATATTGAATCTACAGAGAATACTTGTAGATATACAACAAAAATAGTTGAAAGTTCTCCTAATAAGATAAGATCAGGTGAGATAAGATGATAGTAGTATGAAATATTTATATTGGAAATGAATCATTAAAGGAACTCGTCTGAAGACGTATCTCCCTCTGCCCTGATCCTATTGGCTTAAACTATTTTATGTTGCACATCTACAAAAGTTATACGGCCTCTATTTATCGCATCTTGACTCAATCGAAGTTTGATCAAATTCGCTAGATTCCTCTATTCACCCCGGGCTATTTGAATTATATATAGCTCGGCTATATTCTGTGTTTATACATCTGTACAAATATTACTCGAGTATCTAAAATATCCATTCATCTAATCTCAATCTTGAGCCATATTGATTCATTCCCAGCATCATTCACTTTCACAATCATAATTATATTCACCTCGATCTATTAATCAAAGGCGACTAAATTGTCTATCTACAAGATTTCTATACATCACTCGATTGGACCTTGAGTGAATTCAAACTCGCTAAACTTCCCCGCCTCCTTATTCACCTACGTGGCTTGGATTTGTTATATATCTACAAAAACATACAGGCCTTATCTATTTGATCCTGAGCTTAGATTATTCTAATTCATATTCATTGTCATTCCCGCCTAAAATTTAAACTCTCATCTATCCCAATAACTTCAGACAATAACCCTTTAGACACTCTCAAAACTTTTATTGTATATCTGATATTTATTGCTTCTCGCTTAACAACCTTATCCACTCAAATATCAATTAGATCTCAAACTAAAGATTATATATCAAACTAGCAACTATATCAATTTTTCATATATACAATTAAACTAATAAGAAACCTTGATATTAGAATTCTCTATTAATGAAAAAAAATCTATTTTAACAACTCTAGACAATAACTCATTAGATATCTACAAGTTAATTCTTATTATATATCTGATA